CCTGTACTTTGGACCCTTCTCTAGTAATAGTCTAAGTTTTCTGTTTCTTAGGATTCGTAGATCCCCGGTAATGACATGACCATGGGCCTCATAACGAAAAGTTGAAGATTGGCAGTCACACAGCGAAGACGCATTGCGATAGTCATCGAGATTAATATTATGAAGCAGGCCAGGTGTTTTATAAGCACTCGCTAAAAATTTTGAACGCCAAAACTATCAAGTTTTGGTACAACGAGGGACAGCTAGTTTCTGTAACCAAAAGTCAGTGCATGGACAGGCTACCAAGGAATACAAGAGGGATGCTTGCCCCATGGTTAGTAGGCCTTTCTACTCGAATAACTGTCTCATTACATCCTTCATCCTTGTCTGCGAAGTTAGTACTAATTTTACTCTCTAGAATACATTACAAAACCCAATCAGCAACACTTTGCAAGTAGAATTGGCGATCAGTGTGGGCAATTTATATTTCTAAGGGGCATCCGTTGCACAAAGGCCTAACGGGCGGGGGTTTCTAGTCAATGACTGACATTGGCGTTTCCTCAAAATCGACCCAGTTAGAGTGTGATAATGTACCCGTGAACTTTGCCTACAACTGGCAATAAGCTGAATAAACCGGAAGCTGAACACTATGAATAAATTACTAAATCACATTGCTCAGGTTTTTAGGTGGATATTAAAAATCGTATTTTCTCAAGTACTGGAGAGGTTTTGTCACACATTCTCTTGCTCAGTTTGGCGTTGATTGATATGCCGAGCATCAGACAGGTTAAGCACAAAAAGCCACCATTTTACTCTTCTTCTACCAAATGGTTTTCCTGCAATGGTCTTAGTACTGGCCCCGTTGCCAAAGCCTTGCACAAGCAAGATACGGTCAACTTGTAAGAATTGATATTGTACTTGGGACAAGAAAAGGTCGACGTCGAAGGAACAACTGATGCTGTGCAAGAGCTTCAAGCTGCTGAGAATCGCCAATTCTGGATTACAACCAGTGAAGGAACTCCTCAGAAGTGTCCAAATTATAAAGGAACTTTGGAGACCATTCAGACACGGTGATTGTCACACCACGCATAAAGTAAAATAATTTTGTTGGCCTGGTCTCTTCTTTGCCATGAATTTGGCCTATTTCAAGGCAAATGACAATACAAAAATAAGCTACAATAATAATTTGGATAATGACTGACATTTTAAAAGAGAAACTATCATCACCTCAGAATCTTGGGCGCGCCGCCTGTAAGCTCTGAGGGAGAGGGTAGCCCCATAATTAAATTGGCCTATGTCAAAAACAAATGACAATACAAAAATGACCTACAATAATAATTTGGATAATGACTGACATTTTAACAGAGAGACTACCTTCACCTCAGAATTCTGGGTACGCCACCGCTCTGAGGGAGAGGGAAGCCCCATAATTTTGCCTACAATCGGCGACAAAATGAGTTGAGACACTTCGCCCAAAACTGGGCTTTTTTACGTTTTATTAACTTCAAAAGGAAGAAATATAGCTTTCCTTCCCCATCCCCTCCGTGCAATGTTGTGCCCTTGTTCTAGCTACCTATAGAAAACAACAAACACCCCAACTTTGAATGGAGGGGACAGGGGAGGGGTGCGGATTCTTTTGTTCTCCGAAGTTACCCTATTTAAGTACAATGTCTCAACAATTTTGTCGCCGATTGTAGGTACAAAACAAGTAACAATACAGAGATAACCTGTAATAATAATTTTTGGATTATGACTGACATTTCAAGGAGACTGAAATGACTAATATAGAGACCATATCTACGTGTGACGTTGCAATTGATTATACAGATCGCCCAAGTGAACACGAAGATGTTGAAGTGGAAGAATATCTGGAGTAAACCAGCATAATGGGCTCCTGCCAGCAAAGAAAATTTTGGTGGGATTTCGACAGTGCTTGGCAGGTTTGTGGAGAGTGATTTTCACTGGAGATAGATCGACACTTACATTGTCTTGAGCCAGAGTGTGGCGTTTCGTTGCGGACAAAAATAAACCTAAAAAAAAGAAGTGACTTACCTGGAGAAATAAATAGTGATATTAAAAACATGTGCTCGAATAAGCAAAATGCTACTTTAAAACAAAAAATAATGGTCCAGGATAATAAAAAAATGTGGTTTTAGATTTAAAAATAAAAAAAATAAACCTAAAAAAAAAGATGACTGACTTGGAGAAATAAACGGTGAGATTAAAAGTGTGTGGTCGAGCAAATGAAATTTTGCTCCAAAAAAAATAATGGTCCACGATAATAAAAAAATTGTGGTTTTAGGTCTAAAAATTGATGGAAAAATATGGCCAATACAAAAGTGCAGTGAAGCGGAAAAATTAACATCGCAAAAAAAAAAAAAGTAGTCGAGAGGAAGCGGAAACTGATTAGCGCTTCAACCGGATGTAATAGGGCATATTCTTATATTGCATCACAGGAAGTGGTGCTTTGGCTAAGTGCGCGCGGTCAGAAACAAAATGGCGTGTTGGCTTCCAAATTTTGAAGACTTCTTTCTCTCCTTGGGAAGGCTGATAGAAAGTTCAGAGGAACAGATCAATTCAGCGTCTTGTGATACCTCAGAATTTTTGGTCCGTCGATTAGAAGAATACGGACGAACACTGTCAACGTTGATAGCCCGTTTTTCTGAGGCGTATGGGCAAGCAAATTCCCAACAAACCTGCATAGCCCAATTACACCACCTGCTCAACTGAACAACTAGTCTACGAGCTCATTTTCAGCAACGTTGCCTTGTCTACTGGATTGAAGAAGATGAGAATGAAGGGCAAAATGGGATTCTTCATCTTGAACGATCCGAGTCACAAGGTCGTCCTCGGCTAGCAATATCTCGTGAGCAACTGGATGCACTTCACAGAGATTGTGGATTCTGCTGGAACTATATTGCTCGGATTTTAAGAGTTTCGGATAGAACTTTGCGACGACGACAACATGAATTTGGTATGCGTGTCGTTGGAAGAGAATTTTCAAACATATCAGATACTGAGATAGACAACTTGGTCCGCCAAGTACAGGAAGTGACTCCATCAGTGGGCCTTAGAATGGACCAGGGATCACTGAGAGAACGCGGGTTGGTAGTTCAGAGAATGCGCTTGCTTCAGTCCCTACGAAGGGTAGATCCTGTTACAACCACCCCGAGAAACGCAAGGAGGATAATCCGTAGAAGCTACAGTGTTCCCTACCCAAATTCCTTGTGGTAAGCTTTGCTATTTCACTTCCGACTTTATGCACTTGTAGGGTGAGGAGTTACAGAAAAGTTTTGGTAAAATTAAATGTAAGCTTAGATTGTTACCACATTTACTAAAAAAGACCCGCCATATAAAGACATTTAGAAAGAACTACATTCCACTTTATGATTCTTCTATGCCGCTGACCAATCCTTGACAGTGTGCTGTACAAAATCTGTACCCCCTCCCCCCATCTGTTTGATATGAAGCTTATAGACTAAAGTCTTTTCTTTGTTTTTTCACCAGGCACATTGACGGCAATCATAAATTGATTGAACCTTTTCGCATAGTCATTCATGGGGGTATAGATGGCTATTCACGCCTTATTGTTTTTCTCCATGCATCAACCAATAACAGAGCAACAACTGTATTAAACTATTTTCAAGAAGCAGTTGTAAAGTACAATCTCCCTTCTCGGGTTCGCTGTGACCTAGGGATGGAGAACTTTGAAGTTGCAAGATACATGCTAGAGACAAGAGGGCTTAATCGTGGGAGCATTATGACTGGTACTTCAGTCCATAACCAGAGAATCGAACGACTATGGAGGGATGTCAATCGAATAGTAATTTCCAGATTTCTGAATATATTCTTGTATCTTGAAAGAAATGGCTTCCTTTGCTCAACCAATGAGGTACATCTGTACTGTTTGCAACTTGTTTATCTAGATTTAGTTAACCAGGCCCTTGATGAGTTTACTGCTCAGTGGAATAGTCATCCTGTCACAACTAACAAACTTTTCCCCTCGGCAGTTGTGGGTAAGCGGGATGGTCACTTTAGAGCAATCCAACTACACTGCTGTTTAAGATGTATTGTGTGCTTCTACAGACTATTCCAACTATGGCATAGATGAGGAAGGCCCTGTTCCCGAGGCAGAGGAATACCGCATAAGTGTTCCACCCTTAGCCTTGCAATTGAGTGCAGACCAATTGCACCTTGTTCAAAATGCAATCAATGAATCTAGAGATGAATCTCAAAATGGAATTTTCTCTTACCTGCTGGCCTTGGAAATCATCCATTCCTTTATTGATGCCTCTGCTTAATTAGCTGAGTGTCAGTATTGTTTAAGAGTGAGATATGTTAATATGTTCCTTACATGCAGTGGACTTGGTATCTTTGAACATCTTGCATTTCAATCTTCACCTTCACCTTTGAATTGATGTGCGTGTAATACACGACTTTTACTCACTGAGGCAGTTACAGTTATGTCAAAAAAAGGATGAAGGACATTGATAACACCAATACTTTACCTGGAAGGTGGGGGTGGGGTGTACTGAAGTGCCATAAAAACCATTTTGGTTACCCTGTACAAGACCACTAATTGGTTATTTTGCAACCCCATTGCAGATTCAATAAAGTAAACCAATAATCTGTACCAGACAAGTTAGATCACTTTTAGTTCTTTTTGTTTCTGGTGTTAGGTAAATGAAACATACATCCATAATAAAATCACAGGTTGACTTCCAGGAAAATGATACTCTGTTTATTATCATACCCTATTCAAGACTAAAATGTTAAAAACGAAACCCTGTAGAAAGTCATGTACACCCATGTACGTGTAACGAATATATTATAAGGGAGGCCCCCTTCCACCCCCTCCAGGACATACACCTTATCAATAAAGAGTTCACTACATGTATTTTCCAGCAACTGTAACAATATTTATGGAGTCAAAGATAGACATGCATATACAGTCATGTAAAAAGGAAACATTTTGCATGTAAAAAGAAAACATTTTAGAAGTTATTATTCTTGAAAACTAGTGTACATGCACTGAACATTTTATAACAAATGCCACTCTGCGGCAAGAGGTTGAAAACATTGAAATAGGTCTTTCAGGCTGACACTTATATGAAATACCAGCTTGATTGAAATTGTTAACACTAACCCAACGTGTTAAGATGAAAACATAGACTGGCTGACATAACTTTCACAATTACATTGTCAATCAGTATAAAAGTTACAACAATAATTATGTGAGTGAAATCAATCCCCGTATTTCCTTTTTTTTTCTGTAACTGTAATATTAATCATACTTCGATAAGGAATCAAACATGGGATGGCCATTCATTTTAGCCACGACCATAACCTTGGTTCTGGCAGTTTACAGCAACATTCATTGCCTTCCTAAAACTGAGATAGTCTTGGTGGTGCCTAGGTAACTTGATAGTATTAAAACAAGACTCAGCATCGGGTAGAAATGCTCTCATAAATCTGACTTTAATTAAGTCACCGCCTTTTGGAACATGGGGGTGTCCACAGATAAATTGAATGAGGTCATTCAACTTTGGAATGACTGCAACTTCACTGCAGTTTGATTCCTGGTTGTTGTCACCTGTAAATGAACCAAATAAAAATCTGATTATACATGTAAAATATTTTCAGCTCTTCCCAGGGGTTATTTTGTCTGGGGTGGGGGGCTATATCGAAGTTAATTTTTCTTTCTCAGGTAATTTTTAGCCCTCCTTTATTTTACAGCCATTACCATTCATAACAACAAAAGAAAGCTAAAAATTACACGGACAAAAAAATTAACTACAACAGCTATACACTTTTGGGTGGCAATTAGTGCATCTATACTAAAACCTGGGGTTAACTAAGCAGAACTGAATTGGTCTGAAAAAATAATTCATGACCCCTGAAGGCTTTTTTTAGTTTATTACTTTTCAGGGGAGTGGAAGAGAGGGGAGGGCAGGTACTGGGTAGGGGGGCTACTAAATAAGGAAATACATTTATTAATCAGACAGTGTGGTGTACAGGGAGCTGCAATTTCTAACCACCAGTCCTCACTGTTTTAAACAGAGACCAATAAAGTTTAATTTCATGAATAAAATGAAAAGTAAAGCAAAGTCATTCAAGTTACCTCTTGCGAGTAACTTGATATATTCCTCAAACCATAGCTTAACTTGCTCTTCCTGCGCTGACAGGTCATCTTCATAATCTAACAACCCAAGAACATCACTTTCTGAGTTTTGGACCTCAGACTGTAGTTGGAACACCAAGGCTCTGCAAGATTCATTTGTGCGGAGAAGCTCTAATATGCCAAGGGAATTCAAGCCTGCCATCAAATCTTCAATTTGGTCACGGCGTGATTTAAATACTTGGTTGAATAATATACACTGCACAGCTTTGCATTTTGTGTCCAATGTGAGGTGTTCATTCCCAAAGCCGGACTGATAGAGCAGCATGGCTATATCATCACGCACCATGAGTTGCTGTAGCCTCTCTGGATCACTCTCTTCATGCAGCTAGCAATAAAAAGATGGTTACTTAATATATGAAGGATGCAAAGCAAGTACTGCATTCTTGTAGTATTGTGACTGTCACATACAGTCATGCAGGTCAGGTGACAATGCATAAGAGAACTTTTTAGCTTAGCCTTCATCAGTAACAATAATAACAATAACGATAAGTCTTTGTTTCATCAAAAGATAGAACTACTTATCTTATGTTACAATAATATGGAAGATTACAATATGGAAGATATATATATTATTACTATTTATTATTAGAGTGTACTTGGGAAAGCAATTTAAATTCAAAGATTCTGTGTGCATGGTAAACTGCTTAGTACAAGTAAGTTGGTAAGATCACTAAAATCACACTATTTTCATTTGCAGTTTACATATAGTTTTCATATTTTCACATATATATTCTGATAAGTGGGTCTGTATTTTGTTCATACAAATGTAACCATTGTAAGAATCGTTCTTTGAATAAACATTTCAAGATCATAACAACAGTCAAGGTGGTTCCACAGTTCACTGCACCCTAACATCCCCACCACCAGAACCACCACTATCTTAAGAGTTTAATCTAGGAATTGACAAGTGTTATAATACTCAAGTCTAGACAATATAACTAATCAATGACATCAAATAGTAATCAATGGCCCATTTTTTGTGGGGGGAGGAGGGGGGTTCAATTAATCATTGATTAGTCATTGATGCCATTAATCATTGATTAGTTATGCCTTGTAAAGCTTAATGACAAAAATATATTGAACCATTACAGAACACACCTCCGTCACAGCCTGTTGTGTGCAATAATCAGGAATATCTTTCACTGACATATGACAGCTTGCCAACCCAAGATCTTGTGTTACCATAAATGTTGTGAGAGCTCTTGATAGCCCTACAAGGCCAACATTACTGTGGAGTACTGACATGCCAATAAGCTGGCCAGCATACTTAAAAATCCAATTTGATAAAATTCTTCCTGTTAACGGGAACCAGGTGATCAATTTCTCCTTCAAATAAGATATAGCCCCCCCTTGCCACTGGCCAGCGCACTCATGATAAGGGTGAAGAATTCTCTTGTTAGCCCATCTGCATCAATCCCCTCTTCTCCAACAAATGTTATGTCTAGAACCTTTCTGGTATCCAACACCCCTCGCTTCAGCTTTTTGAACAGGTCTCTCAGTACAATACCAGATTGGCGGTCAATTGAGATGTCTTGGTTACATGGAATGACAACTTTAGATTTATGCACCTTTAATGCATCATACGGGTCCAGATTTGCCATACTGAGTGGGTAACTTTCTGCAATGCTGAAGGTCTCGCTGGCTGCTGCATTGGAGAAAAGTAGTAATAAGCATTTCTTCCTTTTCTTAATTTCAGCAAATGGCAATTACTGCAGTTGAGCTGGACAATATCAATAGTTATGAGAACATTCAATTCAATTTTTTTGGCTTTGGTAACTAATGCTTCCAGGATTTGAAACTTGAATGCCTTTCATGCTGATCATCTGATAAAACTGCCAAAGTGTCTCCTTAATTTCTAAAGTTATTTTGATTAAAGTGAATAATTTATTCCTACCTGGTACTGTACTGATGAGTGAAGAATTTTCTGCACTGTTTGCTTGATGATTTAGAAATCAATAAATGTTGTCTTATGTATACATTGTGTAACTTAACAAAATAAACTATGGAATAAAGTAAGTGGGCATTCACGAAACACACGTGAAACCTCTCAGATTTTTGGCTTTCACCATAACTCCTTGACGTAGAGTGTTTTCGCAGGAAAAATATTAACGCCTTAGCGCACGTCAAAAATATATTTTTTTTACTAGAAATTGTGCTAGGAACATATATAAACCTATATTTATTTGAATCGTCGATGAGGTGACCTTTTCTGGATATTTTTTTTCCTTCAGGGTCAAAAAATCTCTAATTACAAAATCATGCTAAACCTACACCTTGCAAAATAATCTCTTCGAAACCCTGACTTTGAAGCGTTTTTTCACTTACGCGTAAATAGCTACCACACATTGGCAGTAGTAAAATCTATTCTTTAACAATCCAGCTTCATCATGTTAAAGTTTCAGCGAAATCGGACAAAACCAGAATTAATTAGAATTTTTTCTTGTGACCTCGATTCATCGCTTTACGCAACAAAGGAAGCGACGGTCGCCCATAGCAACTGAATCACACGAACGTAACGTACGCGACTTTTCGGTCAAAAAAATCAAGAATTTTTTCCTGACAGCTGAAAATTGAATGGGAACATAATTTTCGAACTTTTCTTGGGTGATTTAGACGAAAAACTGACCTCAGCAGGCTGCAAAAGAGAACGAAACAAACAACAGAGCGGGACATGCAAACAGCCGATAATTTATTCGCGACGTGGCGTTCATCACGTACAACTTGGAAAAGCTTTCTTCTGTCTAATTTCAGCCTAAGAAGCCAGCAACTGGTCCCAAGTAACTTTCTTTATACTTAAAAATGTCCTGACTTCCATTTCCGAAAGATTTGGCCCCAATTTTTGAGCAAAGAAGCATCTGTCGACGGGACCGCCATTACGCTGTCGAGCATACTAATTAGCTAACTTGACAAAACTATCCCGAGGGGGGGGGGGTATGACCAAAAGAGCTGAAAAATGGCCTGTCATTGGGTAATGATGAGATCATCCTACTGTCCTTATTTGGTGAGAATTGAAAGTAACGCCGATTTTCTGTCACGATTCCACGGATGGTTGTTCAAAAAGCCACGGACCCATTGCGTGACGCCAATGAGCACCATAATCATCTTTGAATGTTCAATTACACATGGCTATTTCTTTAATTCAGTTAATAATATTACAATTACAAAAGGTTTCAGTGTCCATATATATGTTAAATGATGATTTTAGTCATCTTGGATTTTACATGTACTTATCATTTGGATGCCATTCCTACTGGTTGGTTTCTGATGTAATATAACTACAGCTGTACTTATCCTTACCATTCGCCCTCACTGATCCAGAACTAGATGGTAATAGCTTGTCTATAGCCTCAGCTACACTCTGGGAAGTGGAAACAGCTTGCATTATAGCTTCCTGTGAAGCCTGAGGAAACATGGCTTCAAGCTGTTGCTTGATCATGGTACTGTTTAATGGCTGTCCAGGAGGAGAAGTGCTTTCCCTTTGATGATTATCAGTAAAAGAGGAACTGCTTTCCAGGTTGCCAAGTACAGCAGATGAAGGTGCTGAATCTCTGCCACATGCAGATGAATGGACCAAGTCGACGAGTCGCGCAACCTTAACCGACTCATTGATTTTTAAGTAAGGCGGGTTTTAAGTCAAAGAATCTAAAAAAATTGTTTACTTGCGACAATCACAGGAATTTGCTAATTGTATAAGAGGTTCGTAATACGATGCTTTACGATTAGCACGACCAGAAATTTCCACGTCAAAATACTCGCAGAATGACTGAAGCTGACTGAGTTTTTGCTTTTCCAGAACCTTGGCTAATCTACCCCCGGCAGAGAGATCACAAAAATTGAAAT